CAGTTTTTTTATAAATACAAGTTGCTAATTCCTTCAAAGCTATGAAGCCAAATATCTAGTCAAGATTTAGACAGACTGAAGAATGATCTGCAAACATCACTTAGGCATTTAAAGGGCCGTACTTCCCTGTGCCAAAAAAGCATTGCGGAAAAGAACTTTGTGCTCTGGTCAAACGTACCCTCACTGGAGCAGGATTCTCCTCCAATTGGATCATGAGTCTCACTCAGTATGGTAATTACAGAAACAATGTTTGGGCTGAAAACATGGGACACTGGGTTTCCGGTTTCAAATATGAGTCATAATAAAAATTATTTTTATTAGCATCCCCTAGAAACCCACAGCATATCTTTGCATTTTATTAGTTGTAGATCTATAAGCCTTTAAAAATCTCTTAGCATAGGACATTATGTATGAGAGACTCAAAAGTGTGAACAGATGGGTAAAATGACTGCACAGAGTTTACATGCAAGGTTTGAAAGACTGAGTTTTAGTGGAAGTCTCATTTCAAATAATGGAATTAATGTTCAACACTTAAAAAGCCAAACATAAAATGATGGAAAAGTACGAGTAGTGTTCTGGGCATCCACCTGCCTTTTGCCCACTTTCCCAAGGAGGAAATATAAATAAAGAAAGTATGCTCTACAATCATTGTACCAGAATTCCATCAGGGTTTACTGTTGTGTAGAAAAGGAAAGCAGAGAGCACATTCCCAGATTCCCACTTCACCTATTTTGACACATATTTTTGACATAACTCCAGTGTGGGGTTTGTTTATTACTTCACCTTGTTCCAGAAAAAAATGAAAGCAACTTACAAAACCACATAACGACTCTAAGTAAAATAAGCAAGAAAAAAGGGTGGGGTTAAAAAAAAGCCGGGGATGATGTCAAAACATGCGCACTGCAAAGACCTACATGTACTTAATATGGGTGGGGGACACATTTGGTTCTGGTTTTCTAACGGTCTACGCAAAAAGAGAACAACGTCAAAAAATAAATGCAGCTGATCAGAAAAAAAATTACATTTTTTTGGACATAAAGAACAGAGGTTTTCCCCCAGAGCTTTTCTAAAGAGGGTACTATATGATTTAATAAGCAATGTCGGCAGCACTCTTAACTATGCACGATAGTTTCGTGGCTGATTCTTACTGTGAACTTGAATGTCGGTAATGGCACTATACCAAAGATTACCTAACAAAATATTATGGAGTGGGTCAATGCTAAAGTCAAGAATTGTGAAGGGTTGGGATTTTACTGTATGTGCAAGCCAACCCGCACACTTCACAGATGCTGGCAGGAGACACAAGGATGCTGGGTCGAAGACAAAGGACAGTTATTTACGCCCAGCAATTGTTGTAGCCTGAGTATCAGCATCTGTGCTCATTCTAGGAGCCCCAGTTTCCACAGGACCACACCAAGAGGTACAGGTGATACCTAAAAACATGCCACAGGTTATATTACAAGAAAGGAAACCCAAGCTTAGGGAACTTGAATCTTTGATAATAGACAATGAGCATGTGTTCCCTTTGCCCCAGAGGGAGACATTATCTTTATTACATGAATCAGTAAACAAACTTCTCTCTTCCAAGGCTGTTTGCTGTAGCAACATCATTGAAAAGGTAGTCTGGAGCACAGGGAATCAGTGCCTCTTCTCATAGGACATCCAGAAATGTGAGAGACTCTTGGAGAATTACCTCCCTTCACCAACAATCGTACATTCCAAGTCATAGTCTAGCTTTCTCTGGCTTGATACCTTTAGACAATATGGAGGAATTGAGGGATTCTGCTTCATTTGACCCTTATTCATCTTATCATATAGTATTCTTATCAGATTCTAGTCACTGGGTACAGTGATAGACAAAAACAGGCATGGTCCCCTGCCTTCACAGGACAGAGGGAAAATACAAGTATAGTTTATGGGATTTTCCAGAAGTTCTTCTTAAATGTTCTTTCAACAAAAGTTTTTGGTAATAAACTTTATTTTTTTTAGAGCATTTTTAGGTTCACAGCAAAATTGAGCAGAAGGTACTTAGATTTCCCAAATACCTACCCCTGGCTCCCGCACATGGAGAGATATACTACATACCCCTGGCCCTCCCATTACCAACATCCCCCCACCAGAGGTTTTACCATGTGTTATAAGTGGTGAACCTCCAATGATACACTGTCCTCATCCAGAGTTCATATCTTACATTAGGGTTCATTCTTGGTGTTATACACTCTTATGGGCTTTGAATAAATGTGTAAAACAACTTTTTTCAATCTGAGATTCTACATCTCACAAACAGAGCTTCACATTTCTGTATTTCCAGGTAAATACAGACACAGGTGCCTGCAGAGGCATTTGAACCAGGACTTAGGTTTGGCACTCTCTTGTGACACCTGGGAGATGTACGGTGTGCGTGTATGTGTGTGTGTGTGTGTGTGTGTGTGTGCGTGTGTGTGTGCGCGCAAATTCTTTGACAATCGTCATCTCCAACCTACCCACAGGGAAAGGTAATTCTTCCTTAAAAAATGGCCTTAAATCCTCCAGTGGTTACATGACCACAGCCCTGATGTTTTCCTCTATGAGCAAGGCCCTTAACAGTTCTTCTGGACTATATGTCTACCTTCTGTTGGGGTTGAGACTCTGACATGACAGAAAACTTTTTGTTTGTTGAGAAGGTAAAATGCCTTCTCTGGCGTGGTCCGTTTCTTTAGGACGTGCCTCCTTCCAGATCTCAGGAGACCTCTATACTTTCAGGGTCTTCCATGAATGTTCATTGTCCCACTAGCTATAGTAATGCAACCAACTTTTTCTGACAAAATACTAATCAGAGACTGACCTTTGTTTAATTAGCCCCCAGTCAGTTCCAATCTGCAAATAGCAATTACTAATGTAGACCTGATTTAGCCCACAGGCCAAGCACTGATTCCTGAATTCCATTACCTAAACTTCCAGCCGGCTTCTCACACTGTTTTGAAGAACCAGCCTTTCCCCCGCCACCCCAATATTTCTGCTCTTTTTTACCCCCCTCAAAAAAAAAACCCGGTCATTTCCTGCTAGCATAGTGGCCTCACTGGCTTAACTTAATGGCAATGGATATAGAAGTAGAATCAGCAGTGCCAGCTGGATGAATGTCTAAACTGGGGGTTTGAGAGAGCTGCCTATTCAAGTAAAAAATTAGAGACGAAAAAGACCTGTTAAATAACCCAATCCCCTCATAGCCAGTGCCAGAGCATTCCTGTGCTGGAAGCTTAGCCGGGGCCAGCTCTAAATGACTTTAACAATGTGCCTTCTCACGCTTTATTTGGAAGACGGGGCCATCTCTTCAGTGTGTCTTTTTTCTTTTAGTAAGTTTTTTGACTAGAATTTCATTGGACCACCATTATTCCATTTCCCTTTTACTGTTTTGGTTCAGCTACAGCAACAGCATGAAATAAGCTATTTTCAAAGAGTTGATTTATTAAATGACAACATTTAAAGTGCTTTATTAACCCAGTCATTCCAGCAATGCCTGTATTTGGGGTCATGTGATGTAGAGGGAGAGAGGATACACATGGGCTTTGGAGGTGGATGTACCTAGGTTAGAATCATAGTTCTGCTTAATTGGGGGATTTATTATTGTCATTATTTTTGTTGTTTTCATTGACTATCATTTATGATATGCTTCCTGTGTGCCAGGCACTATGGTAAGTACTGTCCAAAAGTCCTGCTAGTAAATTTGTGTAATTGGTACTGTCATCTCTATTTTTGAATTTAAAGTGTAGTAATGAAGAGTGGAAGCTCTGAGGTTAAATTGTCTGATTAAAATGCCAGGTCTGTTGCTTACTAGCACCGTGACCTTGGGCCTTTCATTTAACCTCCCTATGCCCAGTTTCTGTGTATAATGGGGGTGATGGCAATGCCTGTCTCCTAGGTTATTTTAAGGAATACATATGAATAGATGTGAATTGATCAGATCAGTGCCTGGCATGGAGCAAGCCCTTAAATGTAACCAGTGTTGATGAGATATAGATGGAGAAATTTGTTCAAAGGCACATAGCATCCAAGTTTATACCCAGCCAGTTCTACTCCAAAGCCCATCCAAATTATTAACCATTAGAGTACACTGGCTTGGTCAGGACTCTTAACCTCTCTGAGGCTCAGTTTTTTCTCACTGGTGAAACAGAGATAACACAAGATGTCCTGTGTAGTCACTGTGAGGATTAAAATGCAATAATGTAGGTAAAGACACTATTACAGAGCCTGTCCCAGAGTTGGGGATCAATTAGTGATAGTGATTTCTCTATATCTCCACATCTGTAGAATACCTATATGTATTGGGTTGGCCAAAAAGTTTGTTCGGGTTTTCCTGTAACATCAGTCGGGAAAAACCCAAACGAACATTTTGGCCAACCCAATATATATCTGTGTGTATATCTATGTATGCACGCATGTGTATTATATATAATGAATAGCTGTGTAACCAATGACTTACTCTTAAAAGTTTCTCATGGTATTGGAACTTCAAAGTGGTTCAAAGTGAATTTTTATGAGCTTACTCCCCTTTGAAAGAAGAATTGGATTGGTTTACCAGATAATTAAAAACAGTTTCCTTCCGAATAAGGTTTCATTTTATATTTTTAATGTTCCAATGGTTTTAAAGATGTCTTTTCTGGATTTTTAAAAAGAGTTCATCACATGTTTCAAAATTGCCCAACTACTTTCTCTTTCATAAATATAGTTTGACCATAATTTCAAGTTTTATATCATAGAGGGAAGTGAAGAGACAGACAGTTACAACCTAGCAGGAAATGTGATGATATGTTTTTGCTGCTGTGCGTTTTTTTGGGTTTTTTTTATGTGTGTGTGGGAAAGGGTGTGATGTCATTTTGTCTCCACCCCCTGTGAGTAAGCCCACAGCATAGCTAAGTGCAGCCGCCCTCCTCTGTCAACGAGAAGACAGTCCACTTAAATGCAGCTCCAGGGTTGCGGGACTCCCACCAGCATCACTCCCCGTGTGAGGTGGCAAATGCAACATGCTCTCCAGCTTGGGGTGTCTACTTCTCTGTGGAAGTATTGCACTAGCCCTGGGAAATGCACAGAAATTGCCAAAAAGCAAGTAGCTCTGATGTTTTGTGTTTTCAAAATAATGTTTAAAAGATACTAGTTTTTAAATGTTGGTATTAAATGTGATCTGCTTTGCCAGATGGGGGGAATAGAGTTCTCGGAGAGTCAGAATTCAAATGTGTGGAGGAGTAACTTAAACTTTTGCTTCTCCACACCCCCCTCTATTTAATTTTCAGTTGGATCTCTTTATTGCAAAAGATGAAAACCAACTTCTTATTAGATTTAGCAGATGTTCACAGTAGCTTGAATGGTATAGCTTCAACTACAGTATTTGTATATTGAATTGTATGGTATAGATGGGTATTATATAGTCTGCTGAAAAGACTTGTTTGCTGTTTTTATCCCCCTCCTCAGAGACTAAATCAGTGCTAGCTGAAGATTTAAAAGAAGCTAATTTGAAACCTAGAATCTTTTGTGTAAACCTCACACATACCTGTTAGCTTGGAGGCTGAAGGATTCTAGGCAGGGCACGCCAACAAAGAACGGTCATGTGCTGATATATAGACACTTCTCTCTGGTGGAATTTGGAAGAGGGTTTGATCTGCTGGACATGACACTCCTTTTCCTGGCTAAATTGCTCTCATTTTAGTATTGGTATTTTGTTTACAAATGTCATCAGAAGAAAATGAAAATGTCTTAATCTAGACGCTAAAAACAATCTCTTGAGCCCATCAGCACCAAAACAAGAGCTTACCTCTCTCCTATCTTTGAACATAAATGTTGCAGGTATTCTTTTGCTCCTTTGCAGAGGTACTTTTCTAAGCCAACTTCAGGTCTGTGAAGGCTTTTTATGGTTGCAGACTGCTGTAGTCAGCAGGATTAGGAAAAACAGGCTGGAATTTTCATACAGTTATGATGGAAAATATCAGAGGCAGTGCAGAGCCATGAGCTTGTCAAAACCCTGCTGTGCATAGAGTCGGAAAGAAAGATTGTTCGGGTCGGAATATCCAAAGATCCTGCTAGGTCCTCCCTCTGGGTAGTTTGCTCCAAGATCATCTTGTCCCAAGTGAAAACCATTCTCTCTTCCGTGTATTAAGTGAAACTTGAATCCAGAGTGTGAAAGCTGAAGGGTTTGGCTAGTTGATATTTCACATGATGATATAAAAAGCAATAGAAAAGGCTGAGTAAACCTTTTCAACTCTACGATAACTCTGCAAAATAAAATTTAAAAAAATATACACTACTAGATCTTTCTCTTCTATCAAGTATTCTGTTTCTTGATCGTAGTAAAAGTGTTTAAATAGATCAGTCATGAGCCACAAGCATTCAGAATTAACTGTTCCTACTGCTAAAATGTTTAACAAGGACCCACCATCTGAGAAAAGTCTGGAGTTTTTCTCAGGCTTAATACCTACAAATGTTTTTATTTTACCTTGTATTTACTGTGTAGGGATGATAGCCATAATTTTGTGACCGCAGGCTTCTGCAAATTCCAAATGCTTTAATTATCATGTTGCAATCACTAGATGCAAATCTCTTGACACAGTTTTCCTTTATTTGTTATGGTAAAAAAAAAATTGTCAAAAACAGCCACAAAACTTTTGTCTTGTTCGTTGCACTTTAATCTGAAATATTTTCATCCAGGTTTCTTTTGTAATTTTAAAAAATATCCATAGGTTCAGTAATTTGAAAAAAAACTATCAAATTAATATAATTATAAAATAAATGGCAAGTCTCCTTGTCTCTAATGTTAAGTTTTTTCTTTATCATTGAAGCTACCAAGGGACTTTCTTTTAGCTGAAGTTGCCTTTTTTCAAACTGCATTCCAGGAATAGGTATACTGTCCTCAAAAGGGGTTTGGGGCAGGCATCTTCTTCCCATCAATTACTTGGGGAGCATTCATGCTTTTTTCTGTTCTGGGGTGGGGTCACAACAGACTTTAGAACTTGACAGGTTCTGAAAATTTCTCAGTAAAGAAAACTGTCCCACCTATTTAACCCATTGTTTCCCAAACTCGTTTGACTAAGAGTCCTTTTTCTAGTGGAATAGCTATTATATCTTGCCAGGGGCTTATTTTTCACATTTGGGGAAATACTGAGATAAATAAGAAAAAAAAAAGAGATAAAAGGTTTTTCCTTTTCTTTTTCCTTCCTACTTTAGAGTTAGTTAAATATCATTTGTCATTTAAGAAGAGTATAGGGCTTCCCTGGTGGCGCAGTGCTTGAGAGTCCGCCTGCCGATGCAGGAGACGCGGGTTCGTTCCCTGTTTCGGGAAGATCCCACATGCCGCGGAGCGGCTGGGCCCGTGAGCCATGGCCACTGAGCCTGCGCGTCCGGAGCCTGTGCTCCGCAAATGGGAGAGGCCACGACAGTGAGAGGCCCGCATAACGCAAGGAAAAAAAAAAAAAAAAAAAAAGAAGAGTATAGAATTTTGGAGCTAGGAAGGATGTTAGTGATCACCTAGGCTAGGGTTTCCCAGATCTTTGGATTTATGGACCCATAAAAATACATATTTTTTTTTAATATCAGGGTCCCATTATAGAGAACATACTTGAATTATGCCATGTGAGAATGTTCAAAGGAGGGAAACCCCCATTGCTCATAAAAGCTAACCATTTTAACAGATTTATAAAACAAATGAATTGATACAAATAAGTCCATTGTTTTATTTTTCTCATTTTACCAAAGACTGATGAAAACTTCATCACAGGTCAATATTTGGGAACCATTGACCAGTATAACCATTTATTTTACAAATGGAGGCACCCAAATGCAGGGAGATTTAGTAACTTTCCCACATTGATGACAGAACCAGGACTGGATCCCAGGGTCCTGACTGGATATCTGTGTTCTGCCCTGTTCCGACCCAAATCTTAGGAGTTAAGTTCTGTAGTGTACATGTGAATGCTGTCCTTCCCTTGAATAAAAGGTTTCTTGTAAAGATTTTAAACATTATCCTAATCTTCACATTTTCCCTAGAACCTGTCTGCTGCATGTGTGTGTGTGTGGGGGGGAGGTGGCATATAGTTGATAAATATAAATACAGCTGACTATTTATAGGGAAAAGAAATTACTTTTTAAATAAGAAATCACTTCTTACGTGTCTTATGCATACTTGCATACATAGCCACATACTTTGTTATAGAAAATAAGATACTGCAGTAGCCTTTGTTATTTTTTAAAAGCTTAAAGTCTGAGAATATTATTCATGGACCTCTTCTCCCTACCCCTTGATGACTATGTTCTTTGGCAAATCATTTACCTTTGCTAAGCCTCAGTTTTCTTATCTGTAAAATGGGAATAATGATAACTGTCTTACAGTATTTTAGGAGTAAATGAGGTAAGAGTTGCAAAACTTTTAGTAAAGGGTCTGACATATAACAGGTATTCAAAAAATGTTTATTGAGTTGCAGAAAAGTAGATCAATACCGAAAAAAATATGCATACCAAATAATATGTGATCTTGTGTCCAGACTATCTGACAAACCTCTGGGAGGGTAGCAAATGAGGTGGCATGTTCTTGGTGAAAGGTGGGGCAAGGGAGTTGTGTTGCTCTGCAGGACAATGAGAGAAGGACTCTATTGTTTTCCAGCCCGAGCTTCCTCAACTGAATGTTTTGACTGTCAAGTTTAAACACTGCTTTTCTCTATGGAAAGCTGCACTTTTGCCCTAGGATCAGCTTTTCTGTGGGGACTGATAAAGCCTCACAGATCCTCCAGGAGAGATCCTCTTGAACTTGTTTTTCAGGAGGAGAATTAGACCATAATACAGGCTCTGAAGAAGAATTCTCACATTGTTTTATATCCTTGAAAGCCCCTGTACTCCAGATACCCCTAGGATTCTTTATTCTTGACACCATAGAACTATTTTTTTCCTGGCATACAGCCAGAAATAAAAAACCACAGAGAGCAATATGTATGTAGTATAATGAGACATGAGAGGCTTGACACACCTCTGCAGAAACTCCTGTGTTTGGAAAATTGCAGTCAGTTAGCAGGCAAAGGCTACTATTTCTAGGCAGCTCTATCAGTCCTCCTGATGTAGGTGTGAGGAAAACCAGAGAGGAGCATCTCTGATACAAGTGTGATCAGATGGCCCGAGGGAATGAGGCTCTTGGCCGTGACTCTTGGCTAGTGCAGAGGGAAGAGGTAGCTGGCTTTTGGCCTCAGGTTCTTACCTGACAGGGTAGAAATCTCTGACTCCAAGGAGAAAAAAAATCGCAGGGCAGATGATGTTAATAACAGTAACTCCCATAGCTATCAATGACTCATCACTATTATTATAGATAACATTATTTGAGCTCATATTGTTTGTGGTAATTTAGGGCTAAATATTTTTAATGTGGAAAACTAACTAAATGCTCAAAGTTCCCCTATAAAGCAGGTATTTTGTTTTTTATATCTTTATTAGAGTATAATTGCTTTACAATGGTGTGTTAGTTTCTGCGCTAGCAAAGTGAATCAGTTATACATATACATATGTTCCCATATCTCTTCCCTCTTGCATCTCCCTCCCTCCCACCCTCCCTATCCCAACCCTCCAGGCGGTCACAAAACACCAAGCTGATCTCCCTGTGCTATGCGGCTGCTTCCCACTAGCTATCTACCTTACATTTGGTAGTGTATATATGTCCATGCCTCTCTCTCGTAAAGTAGGTATTTTACTACTCTCAATTTACAGAGGATAAAATTGTACCTCAGAGTGTTTGCCCAAAGTCATCCAGCCAGCAAGTGGCAAAAGACCATACCTTTAATTTCTATGTAATATCAGTTTCTTGCTCTACATAAAGATATGTTAATTTGTTCAAGTAACAAACTGTATTCCATGTATATGCAGAGCACTGAGGCTGGGAAGACAAGGCTTGGTCTTCCTGACCAGTTGACGGAGAAGACAGGGTTGTAAAGGAATAATTACATTAGAGTGAGAACATCCTCTGATTTGGCTGAAGCACAAAGAACTTTGAGAACAATCAGAAAGGACCCTATCCAGACTAGAGGTGTCAAAACTTATGAGGGGATAAGGCACCCAAGTAGGAGCCTGGAAGACAA